TTTTTCAACTTGAGAGTAAAGGAGTTAGTAAGCTAATATAAAATAGTTGACCCTAACTCCATTAAAAAAACATTTTAATAAACATTTTAAAATAGTTCCYTTGTTACAATGCGAATAACATGAGTCAAGGCGCGATTGTACYAAAATGAAAGCTGTCCTTAAGATCTATCCGGCTTACGGAAGCATCTGCATGTTGAGGTTCGACTGTACTATTTATAGTATGTATTTATTGACTTACCTAAAGGATATAACATGGGCGCGCGGATTTTATCTTGGAGTGGAAAAGATTTCTAACGAGTGATCGTAGAGAACAAATGAGAGACTCAAACACGAGAAGATTATGCAACTATGTAATATATTTTTTATGTAATATATTTTTTKTACGAGTTCTCCTGTCCTGCATGCCACAAGAAAGACACGTACCATGCATCTTTTGTCATTTAGAAAATTGTTATAACTTTCAACATATATTAGTTATATTCTCCATCCATGATGTAAAGTTTGATGAGCGCCAATTTTATAAAAACRCCGTACAGAATAACACCTCAATAACTGGAATCTGTTATTGTATAAAGAAGCATTTTTCATCAAGCAAACTCTGTTTAATTAATAATTCATCTRTCTAGTATATATTGTATTGTCATTGCGTTTTGTACACTATATATGCCTGAGGATKGTTTTGTAATGAAACTGAAATATTGCTCCCGTCCTACTGTCCAATTCTATTCGATGTTGAATATCAACATAGGAATATGAATATAATTCATTTTATTTTCCCTACTAAACTGGCAGCCTGTCCTATATGATGTAATATTTTCACTAGTGAAAATAACAACTTTTCGAAAGAGAATAATGTACGTATTTCATGGATAGTTATATGATAAAGTGTTTTTTTTTCTCGGATGTAATTRCCCCTGTATTCTTTCGTTATTTTTAGGACGTTTTAGACTGGGCATGGATAAGCGCGCGTAAATCAATTGCGTCACAATAGGTCGGTGTCACAATGGCMAAAAAATTATCACAATTAAGTCCATAAGTAAGTCCGAYAACTTGAGGTAACATACACTATCAAAAAATGRCATCACATATCATTGAATTCAAATGAAAAAGACAGCATTCCCGAAAAAGAAATTGCAGCSGGGGCGTGAACAGTYTCCAGAAGAAAGGACACTTAGAGGTGACGTATCTTTTGAAAGCGACAACAATAAGAAAGTTGTTAACTTCAAAAAGAGAAGGAATTATTGCTGTAGCAGGAATAACAATGTTTTCCCGCGCAAAATGCGCATTGCGCTTCGGCCTTCCCATGATGCCTCGTTGAGTTGAAGTTCTCTGACAGCCACATTCAGAATGTAGCCGGCATTGTTGGATGTTGTGCTGCACGAGAGACATTTTTGAACTATTTTCCAAAACAAATTCTCGATTTGAATTGACCAGGCCATTTTTTTAGTCATTCCCAAAATGTCAAACGCCGATCAAACAGTTCAGGATGCTAATTTAGTCGCCGAACGATTGAATCTCGACGAGAACACAGTYCGCCAAGTTATTCAGCTCCTTGATGACGATAATACAGTACCATTCATAGCTCGCTATCGTAAAACACAAACGAAAGGACTTGATCCAACAGTTCTCAGACAAATTGAGGCYTTACACAACCAGTACAGGTAAAAAATCTGACTTTCACTACGAAGGTGTCGTGTCCGCCATTTTACCACCACAGGGAACCCATGATGTTGTTACTGAGCCTTTTTGTCTTTTTGTGGGACATAACCCATGGTACATAAATGAAAGAAAGTTATAGTGCTTAGAAGGAGGCAATTCCGTGAGAAACACCCWTAGTAAAAAATCGGTTCCATGTTTATTGTAATCGTTGCTGCATTATTATTTTCATGTCGTTATTATAGTATATTATCTTTTTTCTCTTTATCTTTTTGCAGAGAAGTAAAAGTAAAAGTTGAAAATACAAAAAAGAAAATAGGAGACAGTCTTACAAAAGATGTAGTAGTTYTGCTGGACAAAGCTGAGACTTCAGAGGAAGTTGATGATATTGTAAGTCCCACGTACAAGATACTCTCTATCGTCCTTAACAGCTCTGCCAGCTTGAAAGATGCAGTTTGAACAGTCAACTGCTGAGTTTATTATCTTAATTTAACCTGGAATGGTTACATTTCAAGATGGCACTGCTGGGAATTGTAAGGAGACTTTTAATGTATTAAACAAGCTGAAATTAGCTGTCAGGAGTGTCCAAATGTACATGTATTTTGTTATTCCAAGTGCAAGAGGTGACACTGAACATTTATTGGTGGACAGGGTACTGAAATTCATGCATAAAAGGTCAACTCTTTTGAGCTTTTAGGAATTGGAAATTAATAAACAATATTATTTTATATAGTAGAAAAGATTGACATCATTGGTTTTCTTAATGCAATATGTTATAATGGTGATTGTTTTTAAAAATTTCTAAGTTCTTCTCCACATGTTATACATGTACATGAGTTAGCATTCTGTGGTCAGCGTATGTACAATCATTACTATAGTAGTTGTATGGCAGATCATTCTCATTTTAAATACTAACTGCTATATTTCTTATTACTTCCTAACACAGTACATGTACTTAGGGCGGATTTTGTATGAGTGGGAAACGGACGGTACTGTACTGTGACCGTAATCGTACTGTAACCAAATTCTAGTTCCTCATTGGTYCACSAAAATTGTGAAGGACAGGTCCGGTAACTGTGCGGTAACTGTGCGGTAACGGTGTCCCACTCATACGAAATCCGCTCTAATATATTTTGCAAACTCCATTCTCCATATATACTAATCCATTCTGTGCCATACATTTTTTTCAAAGATACGATTAACTAATTACTATAAAAATGTTATAGTATGCACCATTTAAAAAAGGCAGTAAGAAAACTTTGTCAGCAAGAGCAAAAGAGCTTGGTCTTGAACCAATTGCAGAGAAAGTACTCAATAGCTCCAATGAAAGCCTGGATTTTGGAAGATATGTGAATCCAGCCAAGGAAGGTAAAAATAGTGATTTTATCATCTGTGGTTGACTTTTGTAGAAACTATTTTGCTTCGTGACATGAGAATCAGAAATTTTAAGTAGTGTTGCTGTTAAATTTGAAAATAACGTTGGTTGGAATATAAATTGAGTGAAAGGAAGAAAGAAAGTAAATAGAGGATATCAAATGGGTACTCAGAGATACAGATTTTAACTTCAAGAGTATTCTTACCATTGACATCGAAGTTTTAAAAATTTAAAAATTGATTTGTATTTATAATCTGCATGTAGGAGTCAAAAATATCAAGCAAGTTACACTTGGAATACAACATATCCTGGCTGAAGCTGTTTCTAAAAATCCAGCAAGTCATGAGAAGCTGAAAGAACTGTAAGTACCAGAAAGGTTGCAGTGATTGACAGCAGTCGATTACTAGTTGCACATCATCGCTTTTCTCAATTTAAACTACAGTGAAAAGAATTTGAAGAAGTTTATTTTTATTTTCATTTTATAAGGACTGAAAGATGGCCTCCAGAATTAACGTCAACTTTGAGTTCCAAGGCAGCAAAAGATGAAAAGTTAACCAATGACAGCATGAAGTACAAAAACTACCATAACTTCAGCAGGAATATAAAATTCCTAAAATCTCACCAGGTAATATTGGTGTTTTTTTCCTGATTTCTCTATGAATGGAGCCTCCATTGTATGGTTTAAGTACCAGTTACCATGGTCATTCATTGGGTTAACATTATGGTTCATTGACATAGCTTTAACACATGGCTTAATGATGTGTGTTAAAAAAGTGTTACATTGTCATSTTTGGGTTCTCTTTTACTTCTCACAAGTGCCACTGGTATGTCAACTCTCTGTGATACCAATTTAATTCACCAGTGAGCAAAACATTTGGCTTGAGTGTGCCCTTCCCCTTGTTTATTTAATTCATTTTTTTTGGTTAATTTTGACCTCTCTTCGGTAACAGGCTAAAATGTAGATATTGGCCCGTGTGATGTGTGTTTTTACTCAATCATGTTGAATAAGGCCTACTTGAGCTGTTTTTTGTTTGTTTTATCTTTGCTGCTGTTTATTTTGTTTTCTTTTTGTTTTTGTATGAATTAAAAAATGTATTTTACAGAAATGTGATCCTGTTTATTGGGATCATCCTTTAATATCCTTACTTCAAGTAAATGACGTTTTTTCTCAAGCAGTGTTTTTTTATTTAATGTTTCTAGATCTTGGCCATTAATCGTGCAGAAGGGTTAAAGCTTTTAACAGTGAAAATAACATTAAATTCCAATGTGAAAAATCAGTTTTTAGCATTTGCACAGATCAAGTGGAATTCACAGCAAGGTACTAAATCCAAACTCTATATTATTCTTAGATACTACTACCTTTTTGTAATTAATATGTGAATACATTGAAATGTAATTTTTGTTTTACAGCAAATAATCATCAGCTAATAAGAGATTCAATCAATGATGCATTTGACAGACTGTTGTCACCAGCTATTTGCCGTCGTGCAAGGTTTGTGAATAGATATTATATGTTTCTTAACCAAGTGCTTCTGATAATGATTGTCCTTTGTACCATAATTGACAAGGCAATTTAATTTTTTAAACCTAAACATAATTTAATATTTAAATTAACAATTGTAGGTGGAATACCCCGAGTCTTTTTCATTTGAGTGAGAAAGATTTTTTAGACTAAAAGTTTGCATCAGATACTGAATCCATTTGTTCTTTTTTTGTTCTATTGTCAGTATAGAACAAAGGAAAAACAATGGATTCACTGTCAAATACTACTAAAGCTAAAATAATCAATTTTATACAGAAAAATAATTGTGAAAATAACACTGGACTGTAGTCCATAATTTCTTTCTTGTTCGACTATTCAGTCAGTGCTCAAGAACTAAATGTAGTCATTTATAAAATCGAGTAACTCAATTTGGGCAGGTCTTCCTTAAAGAAAAGAGCAGAAATAGAGAGTAAAAAGGTGTTTACTCAGAATTTGTACAGCTTACTTCTATCTACACCGGTCAAGGGGAAAACTGTACTTGCATTGGATCCTGGGTATACTAATGGTTGTAAGATGGCATTGCTTAGTCCTACAGGTAACAATTTTCTGTSAACTGCCTTGTACTGAGAACTCTYGATTCATTCTTCCTTTTTCCCATTTCCTTTTATCCTTTCATTCAATATTCCATCCTTTTACTTTTAAGATGCTTAATTAGCCAAGGCCTTGCTTCTTTCGATTTTGTTTCATCTATAGAGAGATCAAACAAAAACGTGAGAAAAAAGGCCTCGCTTTTGTCTCAATTGACTGTTTAGATGCTTTCGATCATCTCCAATTTCTTGTCCATACAGGTACTGTACTGGAGACGGGACTCATGTTTCCTACTGGAAGAAAGGCAAATATTAAAAATGCACRGTCAGAAGTGTTATCACTTGTTCGAAGACACAGGTATTGCACTGATATAATGCCATATGACTGTATAGATATTAAATATCACAATTCAATGCRGGAAACGGAAGAGATTCATCCTAATTTAAAAACTAAGATTTCATCTTGAAATTTTTAACAAAATTTGATTAAGCATTGCTATAAACTTTGATATAAGTATAATATGTATAGCTGTACGTACAGTGTGAATATTCCATTCTGTTCTGTGCCCTCATACAGATCTCCTGTTATTGCGCAAAATTRCGCAAGCAACWATCTCTGACATGTTTTCAATCTAATATCTACAAAAAGGAAAGAAAAGCACGCRCTCTGATTGGCTGTCGCGCGTTTCAGTATTTTTACGGTATTCTAAATTGAATTTTAGCAAAAAGGTGCGCAAAGAAAATGACAYGGCGTAGGACATTGATCCTTCTTCTTTCAAAGCCTCGTGCGTTTCCAACTATTTAGACTCTTTATACCGGTAAAAAATATTAAAAAAATATTTCAGTTATTTATTTTGTATTGATCTTCCTCTACTAACTTTGATCGTACTCACTGTTTCAGTTGTGAAACCATCGCGATAGGGAATGGTGTTGCATGCCGGGAAACGGAAATGTTCATAGCCAAGATGATCAAAGAAGAAGCGTTTTCACCTCTAGAAGTTGTGTATTGGTACGTGTTTTCTACCTACGATTATTAATAACAATTGTTAGTAGTAATAAGTCATTCATCAGTTCAACTGAGAATTCGTAACTATCTTCGTTTGCAATATATCTTTTAAAGACACACGTGACTCCTGTAACTATTGCGCGATTTTTTTGGGGGGCATGCACCATATCTTGAGGTGGTTGGACCATGTAGACCAACGGTGAAGTCGCTCGAAGTTAAGCGGCTTAACATCTCGTTGCAGARTTTCCTAAAAATATATTGATCACGTGAAAACAGTTTGAATTCCTGATATCTGCAAAGGCTTCTCTCTTATTTTTTGCGTAGAGATATCTACATGTAAGCCGGCCCGTGAACGCGTTACCGTATAACACCATGAAGTCATTTTCTGACATKARACAATTATTCCCTGKCTATTAAAGTTTCAAACTTCTGCGRCGGAACTGTGTGCTGCCCTTCAAYAAAAGCAAAACTCCTATATTATTAAAAAGTGTTATTATTGTTCTGTATCGTTTTGTAGCATCGTCAGTGAAGATGGCGCATCGGTTTACAGTGCGTCCAAGGAAGCCATTGCTGAGTTACCAGACATTGACCTTAGTATGCGCGGGGCTGGTGAGTAATTAAGGTCTGTTGAAGTCAGTTAACTATTACATCCTTGTACTATTCTTGTATTTGTTATAGTATCAATTGGGAGAAGACTACAAGATCCCCTCCTCGAGCTCGTCAAGATTGAGCCTAAGCATTTAGGAATTGGGATGTACCAGGTAGGTGAATGCATAGCAGTATTCTGGACTGAAAGGTTTCTTTACTGGCTTAAATTTCTTGAATGTTTGTATATTTGCAGCACGATATTCCTGAGAGCATGCTACGTACGGCACTGCAAGGTGTCTTTACTGATTGCGTTAGTTTAGTTGGTGTGGATGTTAATGCTGCTGGTGTAAGCACTCTCAAGTGAGTAATCAATCAATCCGTCTTTACGTCTATCAATAAGTCTATCAATCAATCCATCCATCCATCAGTCACCATCCATCCATCAATCAATCAATCAATCAATCAATCAATCAATCAATCAATCAATCAATCAATCAATCAATCAAACAAACAAACAATAAGACAATCAATTTATGTATAAATCTGTCAATTGAACAATGAATCACTCAAACTAGCCTCGTCTCTAGGTTACTCTTTTCTCCGTGATGACGTCACACACCAATTGTCAACTTAAGCATAGAAATATGTTTTAGAGTGGTTTTTATTAACCCGTGAAACACACTTTAGCGTATTTATCGCTATTGCACTTCGGCTCTTTTGTTTTTTATTGTCTCTACGCGACTATTACGATCTATTACACTCTAATTATTACACTTTGTTTCGCGGGTTTATGAAAACCGCTCTAAATCATCAGATGCTTCTTTTTATGACTAATATTTGTTGTCTCCACCAAAGGCACATTGCAGGTTTAAACGAGAAAAAAGCTGCCAGCATTTTGGAATGGCGAACCAAGAACAAGCGATTTGAAAACCGAAAACAGTTGGCCTATGTGAAGGGAATTGGAAAAAAGTCTTATGAACAGTGTAGCGGTTTTCTAAAAATTCTTCCTGATTGTTCCCGAAACGTGGATTCAGAAGTCGTCAAATCAGAGGAATATTTTCTTATGGCGAATAATGATGATGATGATGATTTCGATGCTAGTAAAAGATCTAAGCGAAAGCGACCTCAAAAGAAGAGTGTCTCAAAGCGGTCAAAACCATCGTGCACTTCGTCTGGCTATAACTATCTAGACGCGACGCTGATTCATCCAGAATCTTATGAATTTGCAGAAAAGTAAGGAAAAAAAAGCTATTTTAGTCTAATGATCATTACTCGGTGTCTTTCATGATATATGACATTTCCGTTGCTAATGAATTGTCGTTGGATGCCGTAGTTCCATCTTCGTTCTCATAGTCGTTATAGAGTTTATAATCAATGTCAGCCACTGTCGCTTGACCCAGTCTTTCCCTGGCTACGACACTCAGAAAACTGGGTTTCCCAGGATACCTTTCACAACMACAAGACATTTCTTGTTGCAATACTTTGCAATTTCCTCTCGCGTATTGTTTTTTATCMGCAATTACTAACCACCTTGCAGAACGTGAACCGAAACTGATGCTGCACGCATAGTAATTATTATTAGTTGCTTATAATTGAAGAAGCTCTCAACCATGTGGGAGATCTTAGGAAATCATATAATCTGAGCATGCGTAATGAATAACTCTCTTAATTTACTTATTATACACATGCTGTTGTTCATACTAGTATATATATTTTTCAGACTTATGAAAAACCTGTCAGTAAGTGCACGAGATATTGGTACAACAAAGATGATAGCAGCCATCGAAGGACTAATGGTCAAGGAAAGTGAGTATCCCCCTATTGGCTCCGATTAAGCAATCTCTTACCCAGTCAATCCTCCTGTTTTTCTTGCTATGCTCAGAGTGGCTTCCCTTGATTAATCTCGCGCCACTAGACGTCAGAGAAGCGACTAGGTACGAGTCTACCGATTGGCTATTTCGCAAGAATCATTCTCAAAAATTATTGCAATTTGTTTTTAGCAATAATTTTAGCTCTAAGGTTAGGTTTAGGGTTAATTGTAGGTTTAGTTTTAGGATTAGGATTCGGTGTTTATTGGTGTTTTAGTTGCTTGTTTTGACGGAATGTCATGCTGAAATTGACGAAGTAGCCTCTACCAAACCGAATGATTTTTTCTTTAAATCCCATGCAGGTGTCTATAATCTAGCCAGTGAGTATGGTGTGGATGTCTCTACTGTTGAACTGGTGATTGATGGACTTAAAAAGCCGATAGACTATGACATTCGCTCAAGTAAGATTCACCAGTAAATTAAGGAATATTATGCTTTCATGTAATGTGAGTTGGGCATGCGCTTTATGAACGACCGAAAGAAAGCGCCAGTGGTCTTTTGACTTTGGTGCATTCACCTGTGGATTGGTAGGCTGTGATGTTTGACCATAATTAAAACAAACTATGTTTTGACGCATTATTTTCCAGTACAATTGCTTGTGGCCGGCTTAGTATGTATTTTGGTTGTTTGGGAAGCAACCAAACGAGTTGAGTAATAATAGATGGAATAGTTAGAAGGCAAAATTTTATTAAAATTTCTGGTGCCAAAAGCTGTTCTCTATAATCGACGTGTCTTTCCAGGTTTTGAGAAGCCAGTTTTCAAGAAAGGCCTGATGCTATTTGAAGACTTACAGCCAGGGATGCCATTATCAGGACGCGTGACAAATGTCACGACATTTGGCGCGTTTGTGGATTGTGGAGTGGGGCGTGACGGTTTGATTTATGAATCACAACTCAAAAATCGTGACGATCCTTTATCTGCTGGCGATGTTGTAGAAGTGACAGTGAACAGTGTTGATAATAACAAAGGACAATTTCAACTTAGACTCGTTTCCGTAAGACCAAGATTGAAGGCTCAATTGCTAACGACTAGTTGATTGGATGCGTCAATCTAATACGGCGTCATTTGCACTTTTTCAACTGAGGTTTGTTTCCGTAAGACCAAGATTGAAGCCTCCAACTTGCTTACGAACAGTGGATTAGATGCGTCAATTTAATCCGTAATCGATTGCGTATCGTCGTTGCGTTATACGTAAAGGGCAATTTCAACTCAGGCTTGATTCCGTACGGTCTAGATTGAAGCCAACAAGATAGATAGTGCATATTGTTTTTCTCTCGTTCCGTAATGAGTTGCGTATCATCGTTGCGTAAACGCATCCAAACGTTTGCATCGTTCTATTTTATTGTACTCTTTACCAGATAATTGTTGGTTGTGCATTTTTAAATGAACTCACTCTATTCATAGATTATGGTTAAAATTATATGCTTACGTAAAAATTTACTCTAAACATATACAGTGCCACCTTAAGAAAATATTGCAAAAGGCACATTAAACAAATATTAAAATTATTGTAAAAGTAAGATTATCTATTTTTAAATAATAAAAGAATAATATTTCAATGATTAAATTTCAAGATTAAAGAACAAATGGCTCTATATTTTCCCTACCAAGGGCTACAGGCAAGGCAATGTTGACAATGATGGCAACTCTAGATCTCTTGCGAATAAGGCATGAACAACAGCTGATAAAAAAAAACATGAACAAAACTGATTCAAAGAAAAAGACAAAAAGTAGAAAAAGCTATAGTCTAGCGAGCTACAATATAGCTACGAAGCTCAACTTTAAAAGATCTATAATAAATTTTCACTTACCTTATAGCTCAGAATTATCAAAACCTCGGTCAACATTTACATAAACGTTTTGCGCTTAAAAAAAGGTGCGTGGACGGCAAAGACTTTCAGCCTGAAGTAATTAATGCTATTGTGATGTCATAAATTTGCGCGCGCTCAAATTCGTTACCAGGTCCCAGCAATAGAAATTACACAGCTAACCCGATGAAAGTGWAAGAAWTGCAACAAAYTAAATGATTTTTTTTAATAGCTTGTTAAGGATCTTCTCTTTATGATTGGCTGTTCACGCGAAGGAAAATTTTCATCCGAAGCACAATCGAATTTTATAATAATTTCGTTATAATCAAGCTTTATTTGTATTTCATTTTATTGTTTATAAGACTTGTGCAATAAGTACTAATGTTTATTCACTCAGAACATAATTAAATATTTATAAACATGCATGAGATTAACTGCATTCTGCGTATCTCTTAAATTAATCACTCCTTTGTTAAACCAAAATAGTTTTTATTGTTGCTATAGCAACAGGTGGTGGCAACCAGTCATCAGATTCAAACTAAGGACCGGTTCACTTGATGACGGAAACTTGTATATTTACAACTTTTTTGTTGCGGATACGTGCGTCCACACGTAACGTATACGGAGCGTTTTTCGCCGTTTAAAGAAATTTCCTGATACGGTCTGACAAGTGTAGAAGCATCACATAATCGCAGCAAAAGATAATTACGGGCACAAACATTTCCGTCGTCTATGTTTCCGAGACCAAAACCGACTGTTTAATTGATTAAAGGATGCCTTTTGCTTTCTCATAATTTTTGTCTATTTACTATCCTCTATTTCTTCCATATCATGATCGTTGACGGGTTTTTCCACGAGTATTGGTGCAACAAGACTCCATATATACACTAAAGTGCACATAGAACTTGCAGTCATCTTAATACACATAGCCGTCCAGTTAATGTAGAGTTTAAACTCTGTTCCATCCTTCGGTGTGTACCAGTTGGTCAATACCATCGTGATGTGAAGACTTGCCAAAAAGTACACAAAATGATAGAACGAATAGCTATACGGAACAGGCTCCAGGTCTTCGGCTTCCAACGAGTCGTTCAGTTGGTTYTCCGATTGGCTTTCATCTAGYACTGAAGATTTTGTGCGCCCACAGATTAGCTTTAAAGTGGTCAGCGCCATTCCGTGGAGGCCTTGAGATATCGCAATGACTCTGATGCTAAAATAGATTAATAAGATTATTGTCAAGCAAAGGTCTACCATTGCTTGAATGTTGATGCTAGGTCGCATGTCTACTTCAGAGACATATGAAGCGAGAGGGTTGCACTTCTCGTTTGGGTTGTAAGACAGACCAGAAAGAGTTAAGTACATGGTGAAAAACGACACGGCTCCTCCTTGAAGAAGTCCTGTATTGGTAACGGCTGGATGGACAGACACGGCAGAAGCAACTCCACAAAGTACRAGGTTCATGGTAACGAATGCTTTGTTAACTTTACAGTTACCGCTGCCACCAACAAAAAACATATAATAGCAAATGACAGCTCCAGCGGAAATGACGTAAAGAGTTGCTGTTATGGCAACCAGGACACGAAACCAAATGATTCGTCCACTCACTGCTGCCCTGTGCGCTAGACATGAGTTGCAGTATCGYGAAAAGTCTACCACGAGTATAATTTCGATGATAGTGAAGAAGAAAGTCCCAATAGGGCAAGTGTATGTCCATACTTTACTAAACCCAAGAGGAATGAAAAAAGTGCAAATCAAAAGGCCGAAAAATAGTCCAAATTTAACGATCCACAGTCCATTGTGTATAAGCGCTCTTGGATCGGAAAAATTCTTAACGGCGTAAAGAATTATCGCAAACAGCAGGTAGAAGGTTGCCATGGAGAAGCAGATCCTGTAGACCGCAAGGTATCCTGGGTCATGGCTCATACAGTTACCAAGACGACTGATTTTACGACAGAAAAATGAGTTAGTTTGAAGCGCATGGCGGATGCTTGGAAGATACATCAAGCTGGAAGCCACAGCTCCACAAACAAAGAAAAATGTGTAAATAAATCGTGGATATCTGCTCTGATTAAGACCTGGACATCCCGTGATAAAGATCGTCTTGAGCGACATTACGATGAATTTTAAGAACGATTTGAGAAGGAGCACAAAGTCTTGCGTTTCTTCTTCGGGGTAYACTGTCGGTGCGATCAACATCCATATGAAAATTAACGCKACCAATGCACTTGTTAAACTCTTGGTCGTTAAGAACGCCCATGACAGCGTTCCCTTGGTAACGGTATCCAAGTGATGGGGWGCGATGAACGTTGCACTCGAGTACAACACCGCAAGTAACAAGATGAAGTGGGTGAATGAACAACTGTAGAGTTGTTTGTTGTCTTTGTCGTCTGTTTGGTTTGCGAGGATTGTGCCACCATAYCTGAAATGCTTTGTATAATGGCTTCTCAGTAAYACATAACCCAGCAGCATAAACATGACTAACACTCCTGTCATTGAATGGATATAAGATCCTAGTTTTAACTCGCTGTCGAAGAAAGAGAACAAATTGGGAGTACAAAAGCTTCTTTCGTGGGAGAGCGCTGTATTCGTGAGAAACAGAACGTATCCAGTTACTAAGTTGGCCTGCAAAATGGTTTTYTGAACTTGTAATGTTCCATTCTTTTTTGAAGTTGTGATGGATAMAATGAAGGCAACAAGGCAAATTGTTAGATTCACTGACACCAGAACATTATTAGTCTTACAYTTGTCCTTGAATCCATAGAATATATAAAGTACCACTATTACACAAACGTTGGTGACACACAGAAAGGCGTTACATAATTTAATCAGGAAGTAATTCTGGAGTTTTTCGCAAGGCTGTAGAGCTGCTAATGCACTGCCRAACGCACGAGCAAAGTCGACTACGAAAGCAAGCTGAATCACCGCAAATAGAAACCAGGCAATGACTACCTGGTACCCCCAAATAGTATCTATAATGCTATGTGGAATCATGTATATACCATACCCAGCTAGACCTAATATGGCGATCTTTGGTATCCATACCCCACTGTGTAGTCCACTGCGCAAGGAATTGAAATTCACGTCCAGGAGAAGAAGCATGAACAAGAAGAAAAAATCAGCAGTGGCAATGCTTATCCTGTAGATGGCRAGTCTTGTGATCTTGATATAACATGTGTCTGTGGTATTTCCTTTTTTACACGTGAAAGCGAGTTCTCTCGAATTGCGCGTGATCCCAGGTACGGAGATGAGACTTGTAGCAGCGATAACAAGCAAGATCAAGAGTAAATACACGATGTGTGTGCCTGTAAGATTACCATTACTTGGCTTCCATGGCAATATAAGGCTATATAAAGGTGACTTTGAACTTGTCGATCCATCTGTGGCTGGTTCGTCCGCTGTGCTACATTGACCGGCGTCTTCTTCTAATTTCTGCTCTTCCGCGGACATWTTTTGCAATTAAAACGTGAAAGGCGTCATTTAAGCAATATTTATTRTAAAAAAGTCTCCAAGTAAACCAGAAATACAGTTTCTTTAAAGGTCTCCTTGATGCGATCCTCAATTGGTTGTCATACAAGTTTCATGAATGCCCTTAATTGTTTTTTCCTCTACTAGAATAACATGTACAATCCCAAGACACAATAATATTGTCTATAGGCTTTGTAATTCCAGTTAGTTAAAGCAATTACTCAGACTGTTAAAGAACAACCTTATACTCCTAGAATTCTTTTCGTCAACACCAAAGTTCCATTGTCAATCCATAAATGTCTTTCTCGAATGTCCGCTCGAATGAAAGTTTTAATCTTCGGCAAGTCTTATAGCAAATTAAGCTACGTGAAGACTTTTTCCAGGATCTCGTTTCGGCTGATCTTTTTTGCTAGATTATCATTTTGATAATTTCTTTTGGTTTAATCGCTGGCCATATTTTTGTTCGAAACTCCTCCATTGAATTCAGTGAGATCAGAGTTCTTCAATAGCAGCCATTGAATTAGTCTTTCGCATCGTCAGTGTTTATATTTATATGCTTGAGTTTGTTTTGATTATAATCACCGCTAATTTTACCGATGATTTTGATATCTATGCCAGAATACACGGCCCTCCTTTTTATGGATTAAAAATCTTATTGTTGTAATCTCATACTGTCGATTTTTTACCCTTTAGCTGAACAAAAGCTCATAAAAAAACACTGATTACTTTTATTTAGTCGACTTCGTTTCAAGTAGACAACTTGTTCGTCACCTGTCACAGGTAAAGCYGCCTATCGGATGCCAACATTTCAGCTTACAATCGAACAAATCGCTCTCCCCTCTCTCATTCCCAATTTTTGTCAATTAAACTTTCCCTTCATAAATCGTTTCAATCCCATTTAATTTCGTTTGGATTTATTTCAATTTAATGAATGTTTTATTCGTCGATGTGTACATGTATTTTCATCCCACCTGTTTGGAGGGGTAGAGAAGTAGGCGTAGCCGACACGTGGTTACAGTTAATGTCGCTGGTTATCGGACGTCTGCTACATGCATAGTTACTCTTTCCAAGATACGACTGTTAACAATTATTGAACTGTTTTAACTGTGATCAAAACAGTATAATACACGCGAAGGACTAAATGCTTCCTTGTCATCGCACTAAGTAAATACATTTTAAAATCACATTGAAAATCACAAGATGGTAGTAGCTGTTAAGGGTCAAGAAATTCTAAAATTCAGTCCGAGAAAATTTGTCGAGCGAGATAAAAACGGAATTAAAGATATTCGGCGGCTTAGTGTATGGGTAGTTATTTTTATGTTACTCTTTGTTTCACGGTTTGTAGTTGTAAACCCGTGAATCACTAATACGAATTATGCTGTGTAATGGCCAAAAGATCACCAAAAGACAAGAATCATGGAATTGAAAAAGTTTACTCTTGTCAATTACTGTAGTGATTATTTCATGGGCGTCGTTTAAAAAGATTCTACTGAATGCTGTCTATCACAAGACATATAGTGCGGTTGAAGGGAAAGAAGCGGCAGAATCTTTAKATATCCTCCCTCCTCCCTCCGAAACCACATGGCGGCCGGCTTTTATTGCACGGTACCCGAAATGATCTTCCGTCGAAGTAGATTCCGATTTTCAATTCCGTTCGGCGGAAATATATATGTGAGATTAAATGAAACATTAAAGCACTGAAATTTTTCTGAATAATTTTTACTTAGACGGCAGCTGTTTTTCATAGTCGTAATTTTGCATGGATTCTGATGTTAATTTTCATATCGGTTCTCTCAGTTTCTTGTTATGGTGTCACGTGATCAGAGGACTCTCCCATTCCGGCTTGTTTTCGGTCACTTCCGGCTACAAAGATTCCCGAAATAGTCATTTCCTTTACTTTCTTTTTACAAAATCCCTTTTAGGAACTGGCGATTCGTTTGTAAATCATTGAAAATCACCGAACCATAGACGGCACCCTGGACTTACATCCGCTTAAAAATTCGCCCCCAGTCTACCCCTATTGAGTGGAGCACAGCTGGACGAAGGTATTAACTATGACTTTAATGTATATAACGTTCAAATCGTTGTCTTTTTTTATTATAAGAAAGATCGTCCAAGCCTCCTTAAGTAACATAAGGCAACATAAACGTTTGAATAGTCAGCCACTGTTTCAATAAAATATCTAACCAGCTTTTTCTTATTTCGAGAGTGTTATCGTTTTCCATAAGCTTGATTTGAACGAATTTGGCATGTAAGGCTGCCAGAATTGTGTCACTTTATTTTTTGGTCATGTGCCGATCAGTCCTAAACAGCAAAAAGAACTCTTTTTCCCAGACAGATCGTCAGCCTTATCGCCTTCAGTGCTTACAGAAAACACTCCTAGCTTTTTTGCGGAAATATCTTTTATTTTCAGAAGATAAAAGGACTCTCTGTCTATTCGGAAGTATTTTGTTGTGATGGGCTGTTGATTTAAGCTTTAGGCAGTTTTTCGTGCAAGAAAGCATACACATTGCAATATGCGCATATTTTTTTGGCGCGACAAGCCCAATGTTGTCCAATCAAACTCGTCCACGCTCCTTGGCGCGCGGTGACTCACTGTACGCATGCGCAATCGCATGTTTATTTCCAAGCCGGTGAGGGTATAAACATGATGAGCGATCAAGCTGTTGTTTTTAAAGTTCATTGACGCAAATTRACTAAGAGCTAAAGGCTTCTGAGTYACCATGAGATTCTCATACACACCAGAGTTGATATATCTAGCCTGTTTATTATGGAGTAGAGTTTTAGCGCTGGGTGATCAGTGTTTTTGCCAGGTAAGTCTGAACTCACGTTGGAGGAATTTCCACATTTGCTTGTAAGACTTACATAATTCCAACATAATGTTTTGATAAATTCTGCAATGTCATATAAGTCAATGCTTTATATAAAGATCTATTTTAAAATATTTCCTGTGAAAATTCTCTGAAGTTAAGAATTTTCGCGCGCTTGTCGAGAAGAAACGTACGCAGCTGGTGCAGTAGTCTATAAAGTCAGTTCGAAGTCAGGGTTAACTTCTCATTTTAATTTTAGCTAATTTTTATCGTAATTTATTTTTGCTTCTTGATTATTGCTAATAGTCTCTATTTTTTTTGGTTTTATTACAGGTAATGTTTGTCTTTTTTGTTACATGCAGTCATCATTAACTGAGAAGCTTAACGATCTTACCATCGATTAGAAAGAAAAAATATACTTAACTTACCAGAAATAAAGTGAACGAAATTCATGTAAAAAAATAATCATACAATGTTATTAATTGAACAAAGTATGTACATTTTATCATATGCATGGTATAATTCAGCAATATTAATTTATAAGTTATCACAACATAAATAAAGTTAATAAGTATTGTTAGAAAATACAGTCAATTTTCTTCATTTCTTCCTTCCTTTGATTTTGACTTTTATGGATGTGAGCAAGAACCTTTAGTTTTAAGATTTTTTTTTTTACTGAAATAGGTATGTAAAGAAAATAATTTATATTTTGAATACATTTTTGGAAAATGCATATTTAAATGTTGTTTGTTTTGGGCAGAAGTTCAAATATTAAGACTTTTAGATATCAATTTTTTATGCTAGTTTATATGAAATTGGCATGAATTTGGATCCTGAATATAGATTGTATAAAGCTAAAAAATTAATTCTACATTTGACAATTAAAGGATAAAAATGTTATATTTTTTCCAGCATTTATTTCGTGTTTTTGTGCTATGTTTAAATCTGACCACCTGCGCATCAAACTATCAAGAAATACATGGCGAAAAATGAATTTAAATAACTTCTGTAGGCTGGTAGAATTCTATTCTATTGCTCATATTTCCCCATTTAACACCATTTTTGAATTAATTGTATTGATTTTTGTGGTTCTCTGAATTGAGGCAACCAAACAGAAACTGCCAAGTAGCTTAAAACTGACAGCTGCTTCTAAATTTAGAATTTGTTTGCTGATAAGTACTAAACTTTTGCTTATATTTTGGTGTTTTCTTTCCATTATCTCTCAGGAAGGAGATACTATATTTTTCTCGTATAAAAAGGTCATTCATTATCAGAATTTCATATTTATCAGGACAAGCTTTAACACCTTTATTAGAATTAAAATAGGTAGATCATTCAGCTAACCATTGTGTACTATAATATAATATAAATTTAGTTTTCTTGTTATTACCATTTTTCTTTTCTATTTCTTTTTCCCATCTTTTTTTTCATTCTTGTTAAAGTACATTTTTAGTTTGCTAATAGTTATCACTGAGGAAATAGTCTGAGCTGAGTCTTAATCCCAATAATAATACTTGTAAATGATACCAGATTATTTTGACATAGCTAAACAACAACCTTTAATTTAGATGAATTTCAATTTGGATTCTCCAGGCCACCATTTTTTATAGGTTCTATATTATTAAACAGCTGGCACAGGTTCAGACTGCTAGTTTTTATAATATGGAAATGAGCTGAAAAATTAAAATGGAGGACATATTTTAATTTATAAAGTTCTAAATAAACAACTTATTGGATTACTGGTAATAATAATATATTCCAGTCTGTATTTTGAATTCATATTTTTTTTACAGCTTACTGGAAAAATCGAGGAATGTTGTTGTGACGTTGAAACTGTGGACAAAATAAATAAAGATATTTATCCATTAATCAGTCAAATTGTCAAAAGAAATTACTTCAAGTTCTTCAGGGTAAGTTGCACTTTAGACATCTCAGATCTTGTTATTCTCAATTCAGTTTAATGAAAGCAGATTGTTTTTAAGGATGTGCAGGGCACATTTGTATTCTAGCCATTCTTTATTCTAAATTCAATGTTTATAATTTCTATGGCATCAATGTAAGGAGAGATTTTTTATAACTGTGTTTTCCATTCTGTGATATATACAAAAGCGTGAAATATTTCTTAACAATCAACAACTAATAATAATTTATATCAACTAACTAAGAATTCACTGGAGCATAAACACAATGCCAGAAAAGGGAATTTTCTTTGTTTATGCCTTACTGAATTCTTAATCAGTTTGATAACTAAATCTTTTCAGGCGCTAATTATTTAAGAATTGTTTCACACTTATGTGGTGCGCACTCTATAGTCATGCAAAATGTACAAATAACATGATCCATGAATGAATTGGTTTCAGGTTAAGCTGGACAGACCTTGCCCCTTTTGGTCAAATAGTGGACAATGTGCTATGAAACACTGCAGTGTGCAACCTTGTAAAGAGGTACGTCAAGCAGCAATTGAAATGATAGTAAGCAGTTCAATGTGTAATTGCTCATTCTCTCTCCACCTCCTTTAAAGTCTTAATTTATGTCCAACTGTGATTGTAACTGCTTTCTATCTGAAGATGAATGAGTGATGAAGTCAAATATTATAAATAATAATAACTTCTTACTGATTGGAACAAACATCATGTCGTCTTAGTTTAGGTTGAGTTTGCTGTTTGTTTTTCTTTCTGCTGTAAAGTATTAGACTGAGAATAATGTAGTCTTTATCTACACCTAAGCATTGTTTTTTCACTTCATTCCATGCTATATCTATGGTACATTTACATTTTAATGTATAATATATAAATAAATAATATTT